CACAATTTTTGTGCATTTCGTTGGTGGTTTTGTTGTTTAAGTGGCCCCAGCACAGTGCTGAATGCTGACTCTGTTCCTAGTGCTGTAACTGGCTCAGGTCCGCTGTTTGCCACTCAGAGGCCGAAAACGTGAGAGTGAGGTGTGGGCGGAGGAAAGCAGTTATTACTCAAATGCTGGCAGTTAGGGAATGGCCAGGCTCATGCCTTTAACAGGTCATTCCCCCTTTTTGGCTGAGTGAGGGGTTTAAGGAGGAAAAGGCGTGGAGCTGTGTGTAGTGCAGGAGGACGCCGGGCTGTGTCTTTCTGATGGTTATCTCATCATGTGCGGAGGCCTCGTTTGTGTCATTGTGACTTCAGTCTGGGAGCGGTGGGCTACCTGTTCCTAACTCCCACTCAGCAGAGGATTCTGCAGCTGGGTCTCTCTGCCTGTTCTGTTTGAAAATTGGCCCCTGGAGTTTTTAAGCAGGTCCGTAATTAGATAGGTGAGCACTGTGTAAGGAGGGCCTGGTGGAGAAGGGGCCATGAAGAATTTCACAGTATGCTTCAAAGCCAAAGCAGTAATGGGAAGGAAGTGTGCTAATTGTGTGTGAGGCTGGGACACATGGTGACAACATGCCTGATGGAGAAGACACCTGTGTGGATGGGCGTCGTGCGCATGGACAGGCGTCGTGCGCGTGGACGGGAGTCGCCATGGGTGTGGACGGGCGTCGTGCGTGTGGACGGGAGTCGTCATGGGTGTGGATGGGCGTCGTGTGTGTGGGTGGGTGTCACAGGTGTGGGTGGGTGTCATGGGCGTGGGTGGGCGTCGTGGGTGTGGGTGGGCATCGCGGGCGTGGGTGGGCGTCGGTGTGGATGGGCCTCGAGGGTGTGGGTGGGCGTCGTCGGTGTGGGTGGGCCTCGAGGGTGTGGATGGGCGTCGTGGGGGCATGCTGTGAGCTCAGCATTCATAACTCAACCACATACATTCAATGAATCTACTTTGAGTAGAAACACACATAAAACAAGGTAATACGCCCATCAGTTGACAAAAACACTTGTGTCCAGAGGCTCACAGGAGCCTCACCCTCTGTTTCCCGTAGGAACAATAGCTCAGTATCTGCTTTCTGATGACTTTGGAGAACACAGCTGCCTGGAAGAATGAGAACTGAGTGTGGTATTCTCAGTCATTATTTGTTGAATCTGAATGAAAATGTGAAAGTCAAAATTAGTAACTGTTTCTTCGTTAAACCTAGATGTTTCCGTGTAACTTAATGTCTGGGTTTCCATATGTCTGCTTCAATAACTTTTACCGGATCGTAACCCTAATCCTTTGCTGCCGCTTTAACCGCAGTAGATCTGGTACGCGTATGCCTGACGTGCCATGTGTGACAAACGCTGCTTGTCAGGAAGCAAACGTGCTCAAGAAAAACTTGCTTTCTCCCCGAGAGCTGTAACCTTAGGTGCGATACTGGCTCCTAAGAGACTCTGCAGGGCTCTGGGCATCTGTGTTTTCCTTTTTATTTCCCGATTAGTACAGAAATTCCCCTTTTTAGGCCAGCAATATGCACATGGGATTTACTCAATTTTCCCCAAATGTCTAAAGAGACAGAAAGCTAAACAAGATAGCAGAGACGACCAAGGCTCCCTGGTTAGAAAGAAGTTGGTGGGAAGGCTGACCTTACTCCCTCCCCAGAAGCCTCTCACTTGGACCACACAGCACTCAGCCATCTGCCACCTGCAGAGCAGACATGGGTGGGGGGGTGGTAACAAACGCTAGGGCACGTTCTGCCTGCTGGGAGGAATCTCTGCTGCTGATGGTGCTGGGGACAGAGCCAGCAGCTCAGCTCTGGAGCGCCCAGTGTCGCCCCTGTTTACTGCAGACCCGCTGGGCCTGGGCACCAGAGTTTATTGAAAACCAGAGTCTTCTAGGTAGAGCAAGTCCAAGAGGACCTGTGGGTCTTGCTGCACTTGACAGCTGAGTAAACTGAGGCCCAGCGGCAAGGCCCAGGAGGGCCACAGAACAGTGACTCACGGAGTTAGACCTGCAGCGGGGCCTCGGGATAGAGACGTTCTCCCACATCAGAGCAGCTGCTGTGGGTTTTAGGGAGGAGCTTGCATGTATTCCGGTTAGGGAAGGTTATGCAGGTGGGGTCACGTTACCGACCCTCTGAGTCTCCTCTGGAGATGGCTCCTCATGTCCCGTCCTCCCGCAGGGTTCCTGAGAGCACAAGGACCAGAGCCAGGGTCAGTGCATCGTGGCCGCAGGCGCCTGGTCTCGCTGGTGCTGACAGCGAAGGTCACTGGGTGCTCACCACCTGCAAGATATGCCCCGAGGGTGTCAGGAGCACTCCCTGGCGACCACCGCGGCCCCACGCGATGGTGACGCTCAGCTTGCATGTGAGGAAGGATGCGGGCTATGTGGCTCTCTCCTGCGGCCCCCACCGGGAAATATGGGGCCATGTGTCGGTCACATGCTTCTTCATAGCATAGGCGGCTGGGTTTTTGGACTCTGAGAAACCAAGAACCTCTTGCTCATAGCCTTTAGAGGAAACTTTCAGCACCTGAGGGAAAAATTAGGTTTAGGAAATTCCAATCCCATCTGTCAGGGAATCCAGATGTGGTCCAGACTCACAGTTTCACAGAAGCTGTGTGTAGGCTGGAAGCCCTGTGGCTGAGCTCTCTGTCCTCAGCGTTGTCTGTGGTCGAGACTCAGTTTCACAGAAGCTGTGTGTAGGCTGGAAGCCCTGTGGCTGAGCTCTCTGTCCTCAGCGTTGTCTGTGGTCGAGACTCAGTTTCACAGAAGCTGTGTGTGAGCTGGAAGCCCTGTGGCTGAGCTCTCTGTCCTCAGCGTTGTCTGTGGTCGAGACTCAGTTTCACAGAAGCTGTGTGTGAGCTGGAAGCCCTGTGGCTGAGCTGTCTGTCCTCAGCGCTGTTTCGGGGGTACGTGAGAGCTGCTTGTGTTAATGAGGACTTCCTCTTAATTTTAGAAAACCATTCAACCGAAATGTCGAACCGGTCACAAATATGAATCGATCGTCTCCTGCGTGGGTGAGGCCCTGGCAGGAATCATGCCTCAAAGAGCCCATCCTCTGCTCGGAAAGAAGGAAACATCTATAAACATCTGATGTGCCATTTGAGTACAAGTGTCAGGCACTCAGGGCCCTTGTGGAAGATTTTGGAGACAGGGAGAATCGGCCACTCTCACAGTCCTCACTCGGGAGTAGGGCTTTGAGAGGGGGCAGAACTCGGCACTCATGAGCGAGCAGGACATCGTTGGCAGGAGAGCTGCAGTCCAGGGAGGGAGTGGCCTCCTCCTATCTGGGGGCCCATAGTGGGGACCAGCAGAGGGCCCAGCTGAGGCACCATAGACAGGCCTGGGGCCTGCGGCTGAGACTTTAACCTGGGCTCGAGAAGACACCAGCTCCTGCTCTGTGGTCAGCCCTGGAGGCGACTTCCAAGGACATTTTGGGTGCAGTAGAGCTGGACGCAGGAAGTCACTTCGCTCTGCTGTGACAGGGCACAGGCTTGGGCTAGAAGCATCACAGTGGGAACCAAGAGACAGTGGTGGGTGTGGTGCATTTTCCAAGGGTTTCCGCAGAATTTGGTGACTAGCTGGATATTTCTGGCATAAGGAAGCCGAAGGGAATATCCGTAAGGTTAGAACGCTGTTTGCTCCTCAGAGCAGGCGCTGATTCAAGGCAGACCTCGCTGAGTTCAAAGTGATGCTGAGACTTCCACGTGGAATGTTCAGCCATGGCCGTGGTGTAGGATGGTAACTTTGCTGCCTCACGATGGCGCAGCAGTCCCCTCTCCCCTCCACCAAGGGCTTGCACGCGGGAGAGCTGCCCCTGGCCGGGAGAATGAGCAAAAATCCCAGGGAGGAAGACCAGAGGTTGGGACTAATGTATCATGAGCGCAGATATTTGAATCACAAATACATGTGAGGTTGAAAGGATTTTGGGTGCAACGTCCATGGCCTGGGTGTCATATGCTGCCTTGGGATGAGCCTGTGGTGGAGGGAGGGAGGGGAGGCGGGTGCAGGGGAGGGAGGGGAGGCGGCCAACCTGTGGCACTTCTGACCAGCTGGGCTTGTACCCGTCAGCAAGGGTGTGTGGCTGCAGTGGGGACAGAAGGGACCGTGGGCCATATGGTACCCACAGTTTAACGGCTTAGATGGGAGTGCAGGCACCTCCCAGGGACCAGGAGGCAACAGTCTTAGCTGCCGTCTCCCACCTCAATTGGGTCCTCTTTGCATTTCCTGTCGGTTCTGGGGATTTACTCCTTAGAAGACATTTAAGGGGTCCGTTCCGGGAAGAGCTGTCTACGGCTGTTGTCTGTGGACATGGGGTCGGTCCATCTGTCTTTGGGAAGACGCTGGACTCCTAATTCATTTTGCGATGGCTGTAGGCACAATAACCAGTTCCTACTGCATGTGGGGTCTTCAGATGAATTAGATGGTTTAAAAAGTAATGTATTTTTTCAAAATTGTGGTTGACATAGCATTTAGGAAGCTTCAGACAATTTTGATAATTCCTGTCTAGCAATTCCCTGCCAGTTGTTTTTATACAGAGTAGTTCTTAATGACTTTGGTAGTTTTTTAAATGGTTCCTGTCAAAAGAATTTTAACAATACTAGTCTCTTTCCTCTCTGCTCTTGATTCATACATCTCCCTTGGGCACCAGAGACTAAAATCTCTTTCAATAACAACTTTTCTTTTTCCCTAGCTAGAATGTCTGCTTGCTACTGTTGGGTTTGGAGGCTGATTTGAATTTTTTAGGATAGCATATTACACTGTGATGTGTGTTTTGGAGAAGCGAAGCCCAAAAATGGAATTCTTGGCAAACGGAAACAAAGGTCATGGTGTGAAAGAAAACCAATGTCCGGTGGAGTCTGTGCCTGGAGCCGCAGTGGCCTCGGATGTTTGTGTTTTTAAAAACACACCAGTGTTTTCCATGTCGTTTTCAGAAAAGCAGTGTGGCACATTGACTTCGTTACGAACTTATTTTCAATTATCCCTTCCAGGGTTCTCGGACCAGCAGTGACCTTCAAAGTGGGCGCCAATGTCCAGAATGTGACCACTGCGGATGTGGAGAAGGCCACAGGTGAGGTGCTTTCCACACACACGTGTACACGCACACACACGTGCGCACACACACACGCACGCAAACGTACACGCACAGCCAGGGCAGAGAGAGACTCACAGTACCCACGGGGAGCAACCCAAAGGAAGGTCACAGTTTCCGTGGAAAGCTGGTGTGTAGTGACGGGGACGAGGGGGCAGTCGCAGGGCCATGTGGCTGTCCATGGGCACCGTCTGGGATTTCGCTGTTTGGGGAGGGATGGGCCGCCCTGATGCGTGGAACTGTCTCAGATAGAAGGCAGGACACACAGGGCTGCAAGTGACCGAGAACAAGTCCGGCTTTTAGAAAAGGAAGATTTCGTGTTTGTAGTAACCCCAGTGTGTGCAGAGCATGTGCAATTTTGCTTTGAGGTTTTTTGTTTTGTACCAGACCAGGAGCACACACTGGCCCTGCTCCTCACTGTGGTGTGCAGGTACCACAAAGGATCCGGGAGGTTTCAATAAAAACCGGCTGACTTCAGACAGTTTCACTGTTCACAGCCCAGGGTTCTGGGCCTTGCGAATCACACATTTTTGAGATGTACTTACAGATAGAGCTTGAGTGATCTTTGTTATATGATTAATAATTGTCATTAAGTGAAAAACACAACGCTTTACTCACCAGAGTCTTGAAGAACAAAATGGGGTGGTGGACACAATGTTGTATTTTTGTCAACCTGGCTTTTTTTTTTTTTTTAGCTTGTTGGAAACTCTTGTATTGTTTAATCTTCCTGCCTAGTAAGAAAAACATAGGAAGCGTAACAGAACCTCAGCCTGGCGGCCTTCAGTGCATTAGGGCCGCTCCGTGGCAGGGCACTCCCGTTCTGTAATCATTGATAAGACGGAGCTGAACCCACGGACCCAGCCACAGCAGGAAATGACTCTTGCTTTTAGCCAGTCCTTTAGATTGCTAAATCTATGAACTTACTTTTTTTTTTTTTTTTTGCTTAAATTTATGTCTTTTTTTTCCCAGTGTAAAATACAGCAGAATACTCTGGTTTGTTTCGGGATTTCGATACTTAGCTCTCATTGACTGAGGCGTCACTGCACTGGTGCCCTGTAAACTTGGAAGTTTCTTTTTCCCATGAGAGTTTTCCCAAGGCGGGAAGTAGCCGCCATGTTCTACGGGATAGAGCACATCGCTGGTCCTATCTGTTTTGGCTGCTGTGGGTTTGTTTATGGGACATCATCGTGCCCTCAGTAACTCCTTTGCTCAAGGTGGTGATTTAGGGGGCTGAGAATTTGTGGTTGAAATACAATGCTTTGCAAAGTTGTACTAAACTTCTGCAGTCGGATTTAAGGTTCGTGGAGAGTTGAACCCCCAGTCTCATTTTGCTGCCATACTTTGCTGTGAGGCTTGAGGAGCTGGGGTGCAGAGCTTACTCCAGCTGGGCGGTCCAGTGCGGTCCCGGCGCAGAAAGTCAGCGGGATCCATGCCAAACACTCCCGCGCAAGGAGGAACGGGGGTCCCAGCAACGGCTTCAGCGCCTCGTGGCTGCCGGAGCTCCCTCCCTCCACGGCATCTGTTTTGCTTGCTCCAGTTCCCCGTCAGGATTGATTATTGGAGATATTTAAGACCAAATCCATGATCAGGTATTATGCAAAAATGCATTGATAATTATTCCATGATTGGCAGTTTCTCCAGTACCGGGGAGCAACGCCACTGAAATTAGGTTTGCTGGACCTCAAGGATGCTAGGAATGGCAATCTTGTTATCTTTTTAAAAACCGTAACAATGTACTCACAGACCAGGACCTTTGATTTATTTTATGGCTGTCTAGAGAAAATGAGGTTGATTATTTGAAAGGTAGTTTCTCAGTCATTTCTAATGTGTTCATGTTATTTATCGAAGTGCTGCACCAAGGGGGAGTCACACAGGAAATGTACGTTTGAGTTTGTGTCTCATATCGACAACTTTCTAAACACCTGAATTTGCTAACTTGCACCAGTGCGTCCATGTTAACTCCTGTGGCTGTGCAAGTCGGAATGTTTCTTGCTTGTTGAACGTGTGCAAAATTGTTTACATTCATGCAAAATTTTTAAAGAATTAGTTTTTTAACTATTTTTGAATAATTCTATGGTGTCATGAATGTGCCTGATGCTATATAAGAAACAGATTGACCGGGCGCAGTGGCTCACGCCTGTAAACCTAGCACTTTAGGAGGCCAAGGTGGGCGGATCACTTGAGGTAGGGAGTTCGAGACCAGCCTGACCAATATGGTGAGACCCCATCTCTACTAAAAATACAAAAAAATTAGCTGGATGTGGTGGCGCGAACCTGTAATCTCAGCTACTTGGGAGGCTGAGGTGGGAGAATCGGTTGAACCCAAGAGGCAGAGATTGCAGTGAGCCAAGATTGCAGCACTGGACTCCAGCCTGGGCCACAGAGGGAGACCCTGTCTCAAAAACAAACAAAAAACAAAAAAACCAAGAGATTATAAAAATGAATTTTGTGACCACAAAGATCTTGCAGTTAGGCAGTGGACATGCCCACGTGTGGTGCTGGCCCATTTGGCCTTGGGAGAGTGCTTAGCACGTTGACTGGCCAGTTGGCCTCGGGAAAGCACTTAGCATGGTGACTGGCCCATTGGCCTTGGGAAAGGGCTTAGCACGGTGAAGAGGAACCTCTTACCAAGTTTCAGGTGAGACATAGACAGGCTGACGTGATAGCAGGGAAGAGTTTCAAACTCAAAAGGAGTTTCTTGTGGTTTCTAGTTTTAAAAGGTGATGTGGAATCCTAATAGCGTCATCACAAATGCCCTACGGTGATGGGCGGACACCTTTGGAAGGACGTGTGGTGGTGCCTGTGTTTGTCATCAACATACGGAACTCAAGAGCCTGCTGTTGAAATTACTTGGGAGTGCTGGGTGCTACCTGGAAGCCCAGTGGCTGCTTGTGTCTGGTTCCCTCAAGGGCCTGAGGACTGGAGGCTGCAGACATCTTCTACTGTTATTAATGCAGGGAGATCACCCTGGTGGTAGAATTCAAAGGGCATTCATTTTGCTAATTTTATACAAAATGATACAAAACCTAATGAATAGGGGTGTAGTTAATCCCACGTTAGTCCCCATCAAACGTCACGTGGTATTGATGCCGAATGAGAAGTGCAGCTGCTTTTCATTATTCAGCGTCTCTTCTTTATCCTAGGCAATGCTTTCCTGGGAATTCTGCTAATTTATGACCTTGGGTATGAGCACAGGGTATTAGTGAATATTAAAAATAAGTGGGTTTTGCTCAAGGAGGCACTTACTCTACCACAAAGTACGTAGAAATGACTGGTAGCTACTTCTAATCTCCGTGGCTCAGTTATGTAGTCGAACTGGCAGAACAGAAAAATCCTTTTTATTCTTCATTTCCTTGGTAGTTTCTTCTTAAATAGTATATTTCTGATCAATTTTTGTATTGCTCCTTTCACAGAAAAGGTAATTAATCATCCTTTAGAAACAGTGTTTGCTTTTGCTGGCTCCCAGTCTGCAGAGATCCCTGCCTGGTGACCTGTGGGGCTGCCTGTGGTTTATCGGTTTATTGCCGGGAATTCCCTCCGTGCTTGGCCGAGTTTCCTTCAGGCTGAGTTCAGGCTGTTTCTTCAAGCATTCCCTCTCGGGCACCATGGAGGGTGTGTTTCTGGCACTCAGCCCTGCGTGGTGGAGTGAGGCTCATGAGGGCTCCTGTCCTGAGCAGGTTCCCCTTTGACCTCAGTATCCTCCACCTGACAGCCTCTAAGACACGGCATTCAGCTGCCGTTGTTTTTCAGCCTGTTGGGGAGGCGCCCTGTGTCATTTCAGTAGTGGTGCCTCTGTATTCAGAGGTACGGTGACTTTCTGTGACGTCCTCCTGCTTCTGCCTGTTCAGCATCTTTGTGAAGCAGGTGAGTGTCAGAGCAGGGTGGTGTCTGCTATGCTGCTCTGTGTTTCGTGCCTCATACGTAGCGTGTCCACATGGAGGGAGAGGCTCCCTTCCTCTCTTGTGAGCCTCTCTTGAATCCCGGCTCAGAACTGGACTCTGCCGAGGCCTGGACCCCACAGCCCACGGTGTTCTGTGTTAGCCACAGGCCTCTGCTGGAGCAAGGGCTGCCCAGGCTTCTGGCCTCTGGTAAAGCAGACAAAACGTGTTTATTTTGCAAAGCATAATGGCGAAGTGAAGTGAATTCCTCTGTAACACATACTTACAATCCAGCCAGCCTGAACCATCGACCCCAGGCAGGCATCAGTGCTTCATGGTCTGGTCCACCCTGTACAGATTCTGTCTTGGGCAATGCATCGCACCTTCCTAAGGCGATATCACTCTGGAAGTCAGTGGCCCTGCCCTCCTGGACCCCCTGCCGCGGTGCCAGGGCTGCTTAGACAGCAGCTCTTTGGGGCAGTGGATGGCACATCGGGGAGGGCAGGGCAGGGCTTAGACGAGGCTTCACAGAGAATCTGGCCTTTGGGCAGAGCACGGGGACTGGTGTGGGTCTCAGGGACTGAAGGTGAGGGGAACGAGAATGATGCAGCCTGGGCGTGGGGTCCAGTGTGCAGCCTGGGCGTGGGGTCCATGGTGCAGCCTGGGTGTGGGGTCCAGGGTGCAGCCTGGGCGTGGGGTCCAGGGTGCCAAGGACATGCCAGGAGGAGGCTGAGAGGGGAATCAGAATCGGACTCTTCCTAGTGCGGAAACTTCATCTTCAGCAGCCACTAAGAAGGACTTGGGCCTGCATTTTGCTGCAGCTGGGTCGGTTCAGCTCCGCTGAGGTGGCCTCAGGGGAGGGGGAGGGGCACTCACCACAGCACTGGTCCACGAGCAGCAGACATCCCTCATCTGACTCCTGCACACCCGCTCCCCAGGGAGGCCACGCCGGGTGGAGCTGTGCACTGGTGGGGCCCGAAGCCATCCACGCTCCCACACACCC